ACAAGTTTTCTTTTTCTAGCTTTCCCATGCACCCCTACAACTTTCCCATCCACCTTTACATGTCAACAGAGCATTCTACAAAACACTCTCCAACCATTCACACAGGTGCTTATCCAATCAGAGCCTTGAGACATTCTTTCTTCTTCTAGAGGTGTCCTTGGTTCTCATACTGTCTATCTTGCTCCACAGCTTCCGCTCTGAACAGTTTTTCTTGTATTCCCACATGTTATTAGTCCTAAAACATGTCAGAAAATCCACCCTACTGCCACTGTGTGCTCTGTCAACTCCTGAACTTACCTGGCACAGTCAGGCCATGATGACTAGCACCAACTCTGTCTGCATGAACGGCTGCTGTCAATGCATATGGTTAGTGGTCTGCCCAGGGAGAAGTGACAGTGGGTGGGAGAGTTTGGACTTTGGCACCAGGAACTCTAATGATGGCACACAGATGCAAAGGTCTTTTTTCCTTGTAAACAGAAATTCAATTAAGTTTTCAGTGTACATTTCATAGAATCATAGACAGACTAAGGTTGCCAGGGACCCTAAAGACCATAAAGGTCCAACCCCTGCAGCAGGCACGGCTGCCACCCACCAGGTCAGGTTGCCCAGGGCAGCTGCCCAAGTGAGACACATCCTACATCTTCAGGGAGTCAATAATGAGTTCAGTTAAATCACATAAATATATGCTATTTTTGTAGAAACATAATGATATGAAGCAAAATTTATTTGAGGCATTTAAGGACACACACAGCCCACACTTCTGATTCTCAATTTTAATTTGTTTTTTACACACTGAGTTTCTCACAACCACAGGAAGGGCATCAAGAATCAAGTTCTGTGGGAGTCCAATTATTTACTCAAGGTGATTGGAAGACCCGAGGATCCATATGTCTATGTACTTTGTCTATGGGCTTCAAAAACTTTTGACATATCTCGCTTCACAGAGCAGACGTGAAAGACAGCGCTCCTCGGTTGAGAGGCACTATGTATCTTAACCCTCACATTGCTCAGAGACCAGGACTGCATTCCTGTAGGCCTCACAAACAGGCTGAATTACTGCATAGCACCCAGCGGAGGCACAGTTCCACAGGTGAAGGCAAAACAGCAGCAGGGAGTACTAACAGAAGGTTTTTAATACTGCCTCCCAACCTGCCTTCAGCCTACACCCGGGGAGTGCTGCTGAGGTGAGCTGTGCTAAAGCCCCTGAGGCAGACTGAGGGGCAGGGAGAGTCCTGGATTCAGCTGA